CAACGAACACTGCTTAACAGCCAGACTTTACAGACGTTAAGAAGGTGCAACGATAAGTAATAGATAAAAAGTAGAACAAAGTGCGCTGCGATAGAAACAGTACAGTCGTTCGTAATACGTTTCTCGTTTATACGTGCATTTCGTGGAAATTTTTAATATTTCCAAATCTCTCGCACTGGGGTACATATTTTGAAATAAGCGGCTCATACCTCAGATCTCTCGTCGAGAGATATGCAAACGTCGTGTCTGTTTGGATCGAAAACACAAGTCGGAATATTACGGGGCGGACTCTTGAATCTGCTTTCGTTAGATTTTGTCTCTCAAATTTGCATTAAATCAACATTGGATAATCGAGATTTGAAGTTTCACGGCCGCGGTTGTACGTTTCTCTCCGCGAGCTCTCCTCTTGAGTCGTCAATTAAAGGTTCTGCTTATTTCGTCTCGTGTTCTCTCCTAGGCGCCTTTTTCGCACGACGGCTACGCGAAAGTAATCCGGAAAGAGTCTCTTGAGCTTCGAATTCTATCAACGGCGATGTTTGGCACTTTTGAGCCGAATTTAGAGATCGTGTTAGATAGTTCGAGGAGCAGGTAGTTGCGAGTCGGTCGATTGTTTATGTTAGCCCGAGTGCATCAATCGTTCGGGTGACCTGATTTGACAATTCGGTTTGGACATGAAGTTAGTTTTAGAGTTCGCCCATTAATCTTAACTGTTGATCTGAATTCAGTGAATGTGATCCACCGGGCGGCGGTCGACCATCCCCTGCGGGATGAAGGATCCCCCTATTGCCGTTCGCGCGCTCGTACATATTTCCGAAACTTTTCGTTTGCACGGAGAGTTACGAAAACTTTTTTCGAATGGATGGCGAGAGAATGAGAGAAAGAACGGACGCACACGTAGTATGATTTGAATTATTTACGAATATCAAAACGAGAAACGCGCGGCATACCGGCGATGGGTAACAAGCGCGTGAAAAGTTTCCCACTCATGCATTTCAAAGTATATAAAGCCGCATTCGCTTGCTTTTATTTATGAAACTCCGCGAACAGAAGGAACGTGTTGTTTGTGTGTTCGACGATTAACTATGTTGCCTAAAGTTTCGCGATCAAATTAGTACTTAGAGGAGAGACTTTCGTCGAGTAATGGCGGTGGTATGAAGACGTCTAGATCGTCGAATGCAGCCGGGCCATCGATTAGACGACCTCGCTAAAGCAGTTTCCATGCTATTCTCAGCGAAAATATGCGAAACGCGATAATTCGCACTAATTGCAATGTAGATATTGTTGTTCGGTATACGGTTCAGTTTCCGTAAACTGGCATGCCGTCGTCTCCGATAAACCGTGAAGTCTCATGTTTATGCATCCCGTCTGCGCTCGCGTATCACGTATGGCATGATGGTAGGATGTGCTGTTTGCGCGAGAGGAGTCGCGCGGCTCCTCGACAATAGGAATTTGACGCCGTGACTCGACTTATCGTCGCACAGGATCAACACCCGCGATCGCTATCGCGAATGACTCGCGAAAACGGATGGTTCGACGTACCCGTCGGCCTGCGTGTCTCCTGCTACTCGACCGTGTGTGCGTTATTTTCGCGGGCGTTGTCCGACGCGCAAAATTCACGTTTACACAGGGCGCTTCAGTCGAAATACGTCCTGACTCGCGAACCAACGTTTGAACTAGCGATCGAACTTAAACGTCAATAATACACAAACACACCGGTAATCGATTGCATCGATTTCGGGCGACCGAGCCATGGCAAGACGACGCTTGTTTATATGTACCGAAATTAGCAGGATCGTAGTCGCTAACTCTGAGTCATCCTGTATACGTGTGCCAACAAAGCTGGATGCCTGCTCACGTACGCTTTGATATAAGTACAAACGTGTACCGCTCTAACGGGTACATAGCGGAGCGGGAATATTAAGGACCTATAAACGTATACGTACAGTATTCGAGAGAACGCGAATGTAGACACACGGATGCTCTGCGATATCCGCCTTGCGAAGCGCTTAGACTTTTGATGTGCCGTTGCAGCGACCAGTGAATGAACGCGAATCTATGAAAATGCGCTGATGTCTGTACACGTAGTTCGCAGAAAGGAGAGCTGAATGTGCAGGATACGCGCGAACACGCAGCAAACATATATGATAAGGACGAAGGCTCGATTTTGGCCCGATTTGTATGATATAAATCGTGAGTCCGCGGCTTTTCATCGGATAGATCTTCTTATTAATCAGCTCTTCAGTTTTCAGTTCTTCATATTGACTTTCAAAGTCTCGATTTCGCATTCGTCAATGCTTCTTTTCCGACATCTGGGTCAATAACTACTCTTGTTAGCGTGACTAGAGAACTAACCCTTAAGTTACTTTGTAATGAGAATAAATGTACGACCATGCACTCGGAAGATTAGGTAATCACGAGAACCTATACCGTATCACTTTCAATCAGAGTGCGGCGAGACCAGGTGAAATTTTATCATTTAATGGCCGTACGTAAGTAATGGTCTTAGCTTTCATGAGGAAGAACGTTTATCGTTTAAGTGTACGAGGCATTAGGCTGTTTATGAGCTACATGAACGAGGTTGTAAGTGCTATTTATTGCAGAGAAGTGTTACACGATTCGTCTTCCTTACGATACTTCTATGTGCGATTTATTTCTCTCGGAAACTCGCCGTTATAAATTGCTTCGCGTGTGGCAGAATCGAAAGATCAGCGATGCGTGTCTGAAGAAATGCGTTAAAAAATATTAAATTAGGAGGGAAAAAAAGCGAATTTCGTATATATAAGTAATTTTGCATTCCTCGTTTTATGTTATTTTAAAGTGAGAACAATTAAACCGTACTGCGGAAATTTCTTTCCTCAAAGCCTGGATTAAGTATTAAACGGAGAGAGCGCGAGCGTGGATGTAGCAGACAGCGCATTGGTCTGCGACATTTAGAGGTCCCGGGTTCGATCCACGGCAGAACTTTTTTTTACTTTTAGAAGAACAACCCGGAGTTAAATGTAGAGCAGAAGTTGTACAACATTCTTGATTACTCCATCCACGCCGCCGAGGATAGAGGAATTTTCAGTACTTTACTGTTACTAATATTTCATCGGTTAGTTGCAAACCAATGAGAACTTTTCATCGCCGCTATTTCCTGGGAACTAACTTTCTGGCAGTGAAAGATGGGTCTGTTCGTAGGAACTACGATGATCACGAGGCGCTTGGGAAATCGGGGAAACAATTCCCCGCTTTTTTGGCCCAAAATAAATCGCTGGATAGAATTGTCCGCTCGGCTATTCTTTCCTTGCGTCATTGTTGCCTGTTCGTTCCGAATGATAACTCGATAACACGTCAATTATCCGGTGAAGTTCACCTTACCGAGCGAAGTTTAAATAAAATGGAGTTTTAATAAAGTTATAAAGTTTGTTAAATTTTGACACGTTTATCGAGAGGAGGTGAAGTTCCTGCTTTATAAAATATATAAAGTTTCGTAACGCATCGTCGCGTGAAACGTCTTCGAAAGTTTTTGTGTGATATTTTTTATCCGTACGGTACACACTTAAAAATTATTTCTCGCCGTTTTTCCCGACAAACGTTTCATCTGTAGGTATCTTTTCATTAAAAGCTTATATGTATGTATTGACGATCTAATAAAATATTCTAACGACGAGTCTATATCGGATTATATGTCAATCGGAATCTACCATTATCGATATTATGATTCACCGCGATAAGAAAGAATTACTCTCCTTTTTCCGCGCGACAATGGAATTCAAGCGGAATGCGGTGCGCTTCAAAGCACGCGAGCTTTTATTCTATTTCTATTGTCGAAGGCGAGAATCCACGACGCATCCGATGCACCGAAAGACATTTCGGTGCATTTTGAAATTGTGTTTTTTCAGGTAAATTGAATCGGTCTCGAAGTACGCCGAGAATGCGAAAACACGCGAACTTTATTATCAGAGACAACGGACACATTGGCGAAGTTACGTTTACGTGATAAGTTGATGGGATCGGGTCATCGTCCGCTTCTTCGTCAGGAGCGTCCATCGAGCAATCGTGACCGCCAACGAAAAGCGAAGAGTTTCCTTCTAGAAAGTTCGGAAGAATCAAGACAGCTCAATCAAAAGATGTACAGAGGAGCGTGGGTGGAAAATCAAAGTCAGATTATTACCGTGAGATATAACGTTTGGAAGAATTTACACAGAGCCACCGTGTTCTCAATCAATATCGAGATAATCAAAAGTCTACGTTTGTAATAATATTAGGAAAATATATCGCAAGTACACACACAAAACGAAACATACAGAATTATACGTACGACGTCTTAATTCGAGGGAAGAATAAGAAAACGCTGTTATCGGAAGAAAGAGTTTTTTTCGGACCGCCGTCCTGAGAAGTCCCTTATAACGAACAAAGTGAGATTGAAGAGAAAAGAGGATAACTCTCGTATGTGTGTGTAACGACATCGTTCGGAGCGGCAAGTGTTTACGGAAGAGCGCGGAAAAACAAGAAAGAGAAACACTTCAGCGTTTGTAATCTCGTTTCGTTGCGGGATATATCAACGAGCAAATCGAGTGCGACAAGGAACGCTACGCAGGATCGGTGACTTTCATCGCATTATTTTCCTCATTACATCCTGTTCGTCAAACAACGCGGCGGATAAACGAGGAGGTACCGTCGTCGGTCGCGCATTCAACGGTTGTCGACATACAAACAGAGATCGACAGGATACATAATCCTCGGAGAATCCTTCAGGACAGAAGCGAATCACACATCCTAACTGAACCAACAATCAAAACGACCAGAGACGAGAAACGAACGGGAACGTCGCCGGATCGACGTTTACATGCTTCGAGGTAACCTAACACGAACACGTAGAAACGCAACGGACGGTGGCTGCGTTCGAGCTAGCGTCTGAGCTTTTCGGCAGCGTCTCCCGCTAAATCGTCACGGTGTGCGGATTAGGGCGAATTCTCGGCTACATCGGCGGACGACCGTCGGTGGGGGCCACCAACATGTCGCAGGCTGGATCGGGTGGACTGAGCGACACTCAAGGGCAAAACCAGGCTGGCCAGACGACGGACAATCAGCAGACAACTTGTCAAAACGGCCGCGCCGAGCCGCTCGCTGACAGCGCCAAGCAGGATCTCTCCAACGGTTTCGAGAATCGAACGATGGATTATGAGCGATTCACCCAAGAAAGAACGCAACACGCTCCGCAGGGCCAGGTTCAAGATCAGCAGTCGCAGCAACCGGCACCGCCAGCACCGCCGCAACAACAACCTGCTCACCCCATAGCGCAATATCCGTCGGGAAGAAGACAATCCGTAGGGCTGCCAGAAGACAAACACCCTTCGATAGGTCAATTGCCACCCCCGCAATACGGTCAAGACAAGGGCAACGTGGACAGGACTCAATACGTGTCTCAGACGAGCACTCAGACGGTGCCGGTTCAGGCGCAGCCGCAGTTCGCTCCTGATTACGATCAGAGCCAATATCCGCAGATACGCGGCCAGTTCGAAGTGAGGTCGCAGATCTACCCTCAAACGCAGTACTCCGACCGAGCGGGTTACGTAACGAGGGACGTGACCTACCGTGACCCGAGCCTCTACAGTCAAAGCGGCGCGACTAATCCGATGTTCAGCGGGCAAGGTCAATACGTTACGGTTCAGCACAGCTCGCAGATACCGTCGCAGTCGGCCAGTCCTCAACCGCCGTATTTCTCGGGCGTAGTCGTGCCGCAGCCGCCGGGTTACGCTCAGTTCGGCACGCAGCCGCAGTATCCTTACAGCCAGTACCCGCAGACGGTGATGAACGCGGTACCGTACAACCCGCACGCGGCCGGTATGTACCCCGCTCAGCAATACGGCCAACAGTCGCCGAATCCGCAGAGGTTCTCGCAGGAGATCGGCCAATACCAGACGCAGCCGATTATCCAACCGATCGCTCAGAACGTGGCGCACGGGATCGCGATCCAAACGACGGAGCGACCCTGCCGGGGACCGAAGCCGATGGTGCCGCCTCGCGGTAATTCCAAAATCACCCACGACCCGGGCCACAGGAAGTCCGCCAGCGTCGACGTGCCGGCGCTGCAGAAGAGCAAATACGAGCCGGCCACGACTCCGCAGCAGGACACGATTCACCGCAGCGACGGCGCTATTTTAATGACGGCCGCGCCCATGGGACCGGACGGGCCGGACCGAAGATACTTGACCACCATCAATCAGAATCCCAGAACGAGGCAGGATGGATTGTACGTGGACGCGAACGGCGATCAGACGGGCAGGGAGAAACTGGTCGACGCGATCGCCACGGAGTGCGGCTTATACGTATCGAGATCGGAGCACAGGAAGTCCATATCGGTCGACGTGACCACCAGCTTCCAGAGACGCAACGACACGATAACCTTCACGTTCCCCGGCGATAGTAATCAGGAGGTCATATCGGGGAGGAAAACCACCACCGTGGTGGACGCTAAGAGAATCGAGACTAATCAAGTGTTCCCCGCCGAGCAGAGGAGACTGGATGCGGGTCTGCGGGTATCGCCTATGGCCTTTGACACGAGACAGGAAAACCGGAAGAGCATCGGGGCGGACAGAAAGCCCGAATGGGGCAACGTGAGCCCGAATCAGAGGAACACCATTCCGCCGGAGAATAGACGGTCGGACTATTTCGAGGAGCACCGGAGATCGCCCATGAATCTCGAGGGCAAGAGAATAGAGGACGTGAGAAGATCACCCATGCCGTTCGTGCCGATACGCGAGACCTCCTCCGACCGTGGCGGCCAAAAGAGCCCTTCTTTCGTCAGCCAAAACTTCGAGAAGACTCGGCAGGAGCTGGCAATATGGGCGGAACAACGTCAGCGACAGGAACACGAGAGGAGCATAATGCAAGGCCCGATATTCACCACAAGTCCTCGTTCGCGCAACCCGTCGGAGGAGAGGAGAGACATCAGAGCGATTCACCCGCCGGACGATCGGAAGGACTCGAGAATGTCTCAGTCGGCCTTCCAGCCGATCCCCAACATCAGCCAGAGCACCATAATGGAGCAACGCCGACACCTGAGACACGTTAGCGCCGATCTGACGAAACACATGGAACTCACGAGGAAGGATTTCGACGAACAACCTATCACGGGTTCCGTGGTGAATCTGGGCTCAGTGGCTAGCACCGTTTCGTCGCAGAGAGCTAGTCCGAATCTCTGTCACCAGTACCCGGCTCTCAGTGAGGCTAAACTAGACACGAAGACCGTACTAACTGTGGTGACGGATTTCGGCGAGAACCTGACGAACACCAGTAAGCCGATCGACCAAGTCGATCATATAATCCACAGCCACCGCAAGAGCCATAATATCTCGTCGAATTTGCTCACCCACAGCAAGAGTCAGACAGAGAACCTACAGAACACGCTTGACGGCCAAGGCGAGAAAACGGACTCGCTTCAGGCGCAACAGCAACAACAACAACAACAGTTGCAAAACCAACAGAGTCTTGATTTGATATCCGAGAAGCTGAGCCAATTCGAGCGTCAGCAAAGCGACCTCCAAGCTAAGCTGCAATGTCTCCAGAATCAGAATCAGATATTGGACAAGGTAGCGCAGTTTCAGCACCAGCAGAGCGATCTCCAGGTTCGCCTGCAGAGCCTGCAGAATCAGAGCCAGTTGAACGACAAGACGCACAAGATGTCCGCCGATTTCGCGCAGCTCCCGATCACGGCTGACACCCATCAGATTCAAGCCAGCCCGCTCCCCAATCATCAAGAACAAACGTCGGATAAAACTTGCACGGCGCACGGTCTTCACCAGACGCTCCTGACTACTTCGTATCCGCAAAATGCCAGCTTTCAGGCCTGCCAATCGTCGGTGTGCGAGAAACTGACGCCCCGCGTACAGCACGACGCTTCCGACCCGAATTCCATTCAGATACCGAACATGTCGCAGATGCCATTACCGTGCCTGCCGCAATTCGATCGCGCCGACACGTCGCGTACTTCGTTTTCTCAGTTTCACCGACTCCAGTGTCAAATCGAGGGCCACGAGGGTGCTTCAGCGGCGAGCGCCGGTCTACCCGCCAGCTCTTTCACCGGTACGCTGAAGAAGATACCGCCGGAGAAGCCGCCGAGGACGTCTTTGATAGTGCAGTCGCCGGAAGCGGAGGTAACGTTCCGCAAAAGAACATTCGTACTCCACTCCGGATTTTCGTTCTCCTCCTTTTGTCGAACGCGGAAACGCTCGCTCTTCCTATTCAAATGAAAAGAGATACAAGCCGCGGATCGACTTGATCGATCGCTCTGGCCGACGGCTCGATAAGTACTCGATATACAATCGGACCTCCGGTAATTGGAATCGCAGATTCGAATCGAACTTTAATAAACGGTGCGCCTTAACGGTGCCGCTTCCGCGGCGGTTCGAGCGCGGACGAATAACGCGACGGAAAGCTCCTTTTGTGTTATCCAGAATGTCGGAGAATTGCCAGCCCGGCTCGCGACCGAGGAGATTGCGGGGGTTGATGGCGGCGCGCCGGGAAGGGCGAGAGGATGAGCGAGCGGGCGAGCGAGATCCGGACGATGCAGGCGGATAGAGATCTCCGTTTGCAGTTTTTGTCGCGACAGCCGAGTGGAATGAACTCGTTAGATATCAGACTCGATGTTGTCTTTGAAAACTTCGTTACGAGCCCTGTGTACCTTTCGCTCTAGTTTCGAACGCCGGGCGTTTGCAGTCTCGACGTTCCTGTCGCGGCCGTAAAACGCGAGACGCGCTTCCCCGCGTCGTCCAACGACGCGACGTTACTCGCTCGGTTGCGAACGTGTTTCGAATCGCGAGGGCCAGATTTTCGCGCTCTGCGCCTCGTTCGCGGAGTCGTACATACATGCTCTTTTCATAAGTTCTCGATCTCGCCGACCGAAAGAAGGAGAAGAAAAGACGGACGAAGTCATAAAAGAATGAAGAAAAGAAGGACTACTGGTAAAAATATTCCTAGCGCGCGCGCGCGCGAGAATCGAATGTGTACGCGCCATAAAATATGAAGCAGCTTTGATCGCCCGGCGGTTTGCGAGCCTAAAAATTTCATTTGCGGTAAAATATTTATTTATAGGTCGCGCGGTTTTATTGATCGTTAACGCGGAGGAATATTGTTTGCATGATCAATTAGGAACAAACCTATCAAAGCGACAAATTTATCCTTTCAGGCGGCAATCAGAGAACGGCTGTTATTTAATTCGATAAACGCGCGAATAAATCGACGGCGATGGCGGAAATGCCGAGCGAACGCACCTCATCTTTGCGAAGATACGACTTTTCCGTTCGCTTTTCTGCGTTTTTTCTCTTCTCCCCCCCCCCCCCCCCCNCTCTTTCCCTCTCTGTTTCTCTCTCGCGAATAGTAATCACTTGTATAGACCGCGCGGCATGAAAATGACGCGAGAAATTCTGAAAAGCGTACGGCTTCATTGGGGGTAGCGGAATTTCAAGTAGAAATGAAAAGAGTTCTTCTCTTTCTCATTTCTCTTTTTACTTTTCTACAGTTATCCTTGATTTCTGCCCTGTGGAATATTTTTGCATTCGGCGCGCGACGATGTACAAACGCAAATAATATTTTCCCGTCGTGTTTGTCGCCGCGGTCACCTATGCTGACATCTCGTCGGCAAAATTGGGTTACGGCTGAGTCCGTCGCATATGAACAGCTTCGACGTTTGCCCGCCTAAGAGAATAAATATTCTCCCGACCGGTATACGCCGGAGAATAAGAAAATAAAAAGAATTTCGCATTTCCGGCTGTGAAGCGCGCCGATTTATCTGCTATCCCCGAAATCGGCGGATTTTAAAGAGTTGCGGCACGGCGATAATGGCATTAAACAATGTTCCTTTTTTCTTTTTTCCCCTTTTCAACTCGTGGATCGATCAAGTAAGTTGCGAATATTCATTACGAATTGTAAGTTGCGATAAATCATGATTTGCAACGCGAACGGACTAAGTGCCATCGTTACCAGTTTCAATATACCGCTCGCAAATATTCGTTCGTTTTTCCTGAGATTGTAACAAATACGTATCGAGATATTCCCTCTATGTAGAATGCCTTCCATACCTTCGTTTCTGTTTAACATTCCACCTCGCCACCCTCATCCTCTTCACATAGGATGTCAGCGCTTTCTGGTCGCCAGCGAATGGAAATTCTATACGTTTGGATACATTCATGTATCGACCGAGCCCGATTCCGCATAGGCATCGTTACAATGAAGCAGTTTTCAAAATTCATTACTTCCACAAATTTATTTACACAGACTCGTTTCATTTACTAACGCATACAAATCTTGATCGCACATCACATATTGCACGACCATGCTTGTATTTCAAATACACTTTCGCGGAATCGCGTGAAATTGTTTCAGAAATGTTCAGTTATCGGAACACTATGGAAATATTCGGTTATTTTTTTTCACACATCGAAATGCTGTATGGAAGTATGTTCTTTTCTTTCCAGAAAGCGATATAAGAGAATAATTGCCATTTTGGAAAATAAAAGTATACCTTCGGGATATCCTATTTTAATTTTTAATCCGGTGTGTGTGTTCACGTCGTTGCACAAATTATTTTGAGTACGAAATCCACTTTGAAAAAAGTCGGTCGAGGCAGCGAAAGAAACACTCGGCGGCGCGAGGAACTGAGAAGAGCGTAATGATTTAACGGGAGTTAGCTTCGCCGAAGTTGGAACAGGCGAAATTGTTCCGCCACGCCCTAAACTTGTACTTTTCGGCTAAGGGTGGGCGAATTAAGTCGAGAAATGTTATGAATAACGGCCAATCATGAATTAAATATGAGCGGTGAGCCCCGCGTGTCATGTGTGTACATCGGCGAAATGACGTTGCGAGAATAAAAAAATAGAAAACAAAAAACCTGTTATAGTGAGACAAAAGGATGAAAAATCAGCCAAGGATCGACGATGGCGATATAAACGACTTTACCATTTAACGTATAAAAACAAAAACGTCACGATACCCTCCTTTACAACGCATTCTCTTTACGACGGGGTTGTTCGATACTTTGACAGCATCCCGTAGCTCGCTTACGCCGCTATCTCCTCTCTGTTCTTCGGCCTGTGATTAAAAAATCGGGGACAAGCGCGACGAATTGTTAAATTATACGAGACCTTAAAAGCGTGTCGGTCACATATAGTGATTGCAGCGTCGGCGAGTATTCACTTTTCCGCCCGCCTGCAAGCATTGTCAGTTGCTCAAATGACGAGGTGCACTCAGTATCGCGGATATTATTCATCGTTTCATCTATCGATTAATATCAATTTAATATTATATTAAAATAATAATATTATATATTAACTTTTGCATCAAAATTTCTGAGATAATAAGATTAGCCAGCTGGCCAATGACCGGTAATATTCCGTTGTCTCATTGAACGCCAAACCGACGTAGCTTCCGGAAGTAGACGAGCACAGTGCGAGTTCGCGATACGCGTCGCTCGGAACGAGCGTGAAATTTTCGACTCAACTCCCTCCCTCCCTTTCTCTTTCTCTCTTTCTCATCTGCTAAATACGTACTTTTCATCGTCCGTAGGTGGTAACCGTCGATGCGTGTATGACGCCCGTAAAACTCCTTTCTGCGTAACTCGGTGCGCCCAAAACAATGTCGGTCCTTTTGCGCGAACCGGTATCGCTGTGCTTTTGTTACGCCGGGGCGTTTCGCGCGATCGCCCCGTCAACTGGTTGCGCGAGCTTTTACAAATCCGCCAGCTACCGTGGCGGAGTTTTTCGCGAAATTCCTGGCGTAACTTTCCGCCGCCACTTAGCGCGGTGCTTACAAATTGAGACTAACAGTGCCGGTTTATGCGCCGCCGAGTATTTACTAGAATCGTCCCCGTGAGAGGAAGACAGAAAGAGAAAAAGAGGATGGGGAGGGAGGTGCTAGCCGTCTATATTTTTAACTGGCCATAACCGTATTTAAACTAGCTGTTGATTTTATAGCGGCCTTCGCGGTTACAAAATCGAACTTTGTTGTGCTCGCGAGCACGCACTAGTGCGGGCGGATTAGCCGCTTGGATTTCTTTCCCTTCCGCAATTTCGCGAACGGCCATGCGGATAATTTAACGCTTCATCGCAATTGATGCGCGATCGATAACCACCCGCGAACCCCTTTCTTTCACGAGCATTCTGCCGGACTTTTTTCCATTATTGCGGACACTGATTTTATTTTTGATACGTGCGTTTGGCGAACACGTCCGTGTTATCCGTATCCGTAACTGGCGGTAATTCTGCGAAAAATTTCTCATAATCGTTATACTGATCCTCTTATCCTCGCGGTAACGTTATTACAATGACCTTTTCGAAAGACTTTTACGGAGCTCCATCTAGTAGAGATCCCGACCGATATTACGTACGGTGAATATTGCAAGCGACGAAAACGTCATAGTTTTCAATTCGCGAACGTCTTTGAGCCGGAAAAATGCGGGGATCGATACGCGCGAACGCTCGCCGGGTGAAACAAGCAGTGGCGGCGACGGCAGCAGGGACGAGTTAAGCAGATTTAGCACGACGTATACGAGGATAAAGGTTGACTTACTTTACGAAGCAATAGAATGGGAAATAATAACGCCACACCGAGCGATGTAGAAAGAATTTTTTTACTTGACCGCGGCGCGTGCCGGTTACACGATGATACCCCAGAGTATCCCACACATAGAAGATTCAGTTTTTCCGAATTCCCGTTTAATAAATTTATCTCTCTCTTTATGAATTAAAGTTTTACTTACGATCAAAGCATTGCAAAAATGAAATAAAATGGAGAAGGAAATAGGTCGACGTGTAAAAAAAGTAATTTTGTGTAAGTTTTTTATCAGCTTAATGATGTGGACGAATACGTTAATATTGGGATGTAAATAAATATCAGCAATCGTATCAATTTTGTTATTTCTGTTTGCATCCACTGTAAACAGAATTTTCGTTATTTTAAGTCGCGGTTTTTCTAGCTCCTCCAGTATGCTTTAACCGCTTTTCATTTTGATTTTCGCAATTTTCACGGCTTTTTCAACGCGTTACACATCAACGAGCTATGTTATACTACATAAATAAACTGTACCATACGTTCTCCCAAAATAAAGGCAAAAAATAATAATAATAATAAATTGCAACGCTTGTAGAGAATTGGAGTAATT